TCATTAATATCTGATGATAAAGAAAGAATGAAAACGGAAAAAGCAATTGAACAGTATGAAAGAGAATCTTCATCAACAAGCCGAAAATTACCAACAGAATGGTATCAACAAGAGCCATTGAACGAATCAAATGAATACGATGAACAACTAGTTGAGCATATTACATTTGAGAAAGAATTAGACAATATGGAAGAAGACACTTTAAGAAGACAACATCCATATCCGCGCACGATTCCATCATCACCTATAAGAATAACACCACTCTATACAACTGTTAATGAAAATTTAACAGGAAAACAACAACAAGCATTGTCATCAAAGGTAAATCTTAATAATATTGAGTGTGATGATAATAATGTTTTCAATGATGTTGACAAGAGGTTTGAAGTTTTTAATGATCACCATCATGAACTTTCAATTAGTAATAGCTCTACATGTAGTAGTAGCAATACTAATGCCGAATGTTATGATGATCACATTCTTTTAAATTGTAATAATTCTAACTTCATTAATTTAAATGATTTACAACTAACAACAATAAGTCACTGTTCACCAACAAGTGATTATGAAACCGATTCACTTGATAAACAAAGTTCGTCTGATAGTAATACACGCACATCGTTTTTTTTTACCACCGCTACAACAACAACAACAACAGCTGATGATGATAATAAAATTCAAGAAGAACTGCAACATACACATACAATTCCATGCACATCCTCCTCGTCTTCTATCACGTCTCCATTGTCCTCATTACCCCCTCAAAATCAACAAAATATTGTCGATTTATTAAATGTATTAGCAACGCATGTGAGTGCATTGCATGTTCCACCATCAATACAAGATTTACAAGATGCTAGTTCACATACGACTGCTGTAACTGCAGCTGACACAGTTGAACAATTGAATAATGTTGCTAAAGAATTATTAATCACATTGGGTTTTGGTAAAGACGAAAAAATACCTCTACCATCAGTATTTATACCGTCCAATGATAAATATGTTACCACTAATCTCGAACAGCAATTACAAGCGTATGAAACTACCACTGTGATGCAAACGAAAATGGACGAAACAACGGTAAATATTGATAATCAACAATCATCAACACAAGCTCAACAGGCGCATGTTGTCATTAACAACCCATCTAATATTGAATACAAAACTCCCGTTGTAAGAGAAATTCCTCATCAAGAATATCTGTCAAGTTTTATGCACCAACTTGATAATATTCCAGGTGTTGAACAACAATTGTCTATAAACACTTCACAAGAAAATGATACGATCAAATTAAGAACTGCTATGTGTAAGGAAATGATGAATCACGAGTACGTCGCACGTTTTATGCAACAATTACTTCCATTCGAACCAATTTCCATTGCTACTCAAGCGTTATATGAATCTGAGTGTAAGAATATGGAAAAAACAACCAAACAATTGCTCTATTCTGTCCAGAATCGTATGGAACAATTTGAAAATGCTGTATTACTCTATTCACACCGTTTACAGCATGATCTTGATTTATCTGAAAATGAACAACAGTCATTAAATTTTCTTGATGAACCAGCTCAATTTTTGTTACCAGTTGTCAATGAAATTCCAATATACAGTACAAATTTTTCTTACGATTATTCACTTGTTCCCCACGATAGTATACCACATATTGTTGTACCATTGACACATAATTATAATGATCATTATGTAAACATCAATTATGCACAAACTCTGTTGTCAGGAACATTAAATATGTTGAAAGAAAATATTGATTTTAACAACGATGAAGAGACCAATAGTTTCATGAATCGTTCAATTAATCTCGATAACACTGAACATTATCATATACAACCATTATATTCGTATCCCGAAACATTTTATGCACAAATCACAGAGCCACCACATTCAATGGCAATGGCAAATCAATCGAACTTAAACGACAATAGTAATGATAGATCAAAATCATTTAGTGAAAATGAACAACTGATTGACAGTTTAAATAAAACAACCGTCGAAGAACATGAACGTGTTTATGCTACCAAATCAGAATATACTGAGCTTAATAATGAACAATCAATAAAGATCAATGATAGTCAAATATCAGAAAAAAATTTAAATATAATAATAGTAAACAAACAAGAACATGAATGTAGTTCAATGTTAGAATACGATGAGCATGTTAAAGAAGAAACGATTCGACAATTATTCTTAAAAAATTTATATGTGCCTATCGAAGAAGAAAAAGACAAGAATGTACTATCCATGAATAAAAATGTTGTCTATAAATCGCCAACATCTAATGAACACATTTTCACCGTAGAAAATTCAAACAAGTCTACTGATGATAATCGAAACCATTGTGTTTCACATTTATCACCGTTAACTGAACATGTACTCCATACAACCTCTCAACCATTTATTAATCTATTAACAACAATGGTAACATCAGATTCAGTGTACAATATTTCTGCAACAAGTCCCGAACAATACCAACAAGCCAATGAGTTATTATCTATGGAACAAGATAGTATTGAGGAAAATTTCAGTACTCAATCATCAAAATTGATCCAAACAAATCATCAAAATATCAGTTTTATTTCAGACGATACTATAAATCCATCAGAATTCATAGCAGAAGTTCTGGATAATCGACATGAGCAGCATTTAAACATTAGTCTGCTTCAGGTAATAAACGATTACTATTTTTATTACTATTATTATTGTTATTATTATTATCATCACTTATTCACTTCTCAAGCTCTGCATGTCATCCACAGTTAAGTTTGATAATTAAAAAACAAGTGACAACTCTAGAGTTATGTTTGTGCTCGTTAGATACATGCACGTCTATTAGATGTTTCTATTTATTTTTACTTTTCAATCTTAGTAGTTATATATACAGCACGTATTAGATTTTTAGAATTATACTTTTACCATTTGATTCTAATCTAGTAGGCAACTTAATCAGAAATGTTGATGGAAAAAAAGAAATTATTATTCTCTCACTTGGTTAATGAGATACAAACATTTTTCAAAAATAACGTATTCAATCCTTAAACAAATTACTGTCCATTTTACTAAACATTTTGATCGTATTATAGAAATCATTATTTCTTCTATTGATATGATTTTGACGCTCTGTGATAGACGTAACGGCATCAATTAACTTTGAACAATATGAACCATCCATAATGATGAACATACATCCTCATGCTATTTATCCAAACAATTTTTATTTATTAAATCAAATGGTGTATTCTTAAGTTTTCAATTATATTATATTGCACAGTTGCGTTTAATTCTATAACTAAACTAACAAAAAGTGAAAGAATAAAAGAAATTTGAGAGTGCATGTTTATAACTTCAAACCTCTTGTCGTGCTATTTATAATTCAAAAATTAATTGGTTTTGGATGCTACAATGTGAAGATGTTCATTTGACTGGCTACACACATGAAATACATTGGGTCTGATGTGATTTCACTTCTAATTTTGAATTATTTGTTTTGCATGATATACAGCAATAAGCAATATCACTTGATTTTGACACATTTAAATTCTATAACTACATTGTGCTTAAGATTAATCCTTTTTGCCCTGTTTTTCTATAATGTAAATCATGTACCATCGCTTTAAAATTTCTATTTGACGAGAATAATATTAAAAAGCAACAAATTAAGCTTCTTCTGTATCAATCATGTATATATTACCTTTATTTCTTGGTGAAATCTATTTAGAGTTCTACTGTAATTATCAACTATATGATTTTTACATAAGTCATGCTAATAAAATGTACAAATAGAAAAATCAACATAGGCATTATAGAGAATGTTTTAACTTTTTCGCACATATTGCACCCATGCCTTGTTATTAAAATGTCAGTTTAATGTTCAACGATCGTTATCTGATGATTAATAAATAATGATGATGATGATGATAATGATGATGGTGGTAGGGACTTACAAACAATATATTGAGGGTCAAACACATTCGGATATACACACACATACACAGCATGCCCTATTTTCTAAACTTCATCAAGTTGTTGTATGACATTTATGTATAAATCAACACATTGACGTACTGAAACAGCCTTGAAAAAGAAAGATGATACGAACGACTATTCGTCTTATCTATTAATGTTCAATATGTGTCTGAACGGGATTTTTTTTGTTGATATCTGTCCTATTTGGCGCGCGCGATAGAAAAAGAGAAAGAACGAAAGAATAACCTACATTCATCTCTAATGTATAACCGTATGTGTATATTCAATCATTACAATGGCAATTCACTATTACAAATTTGAAGGTCTTCTTTAAGAGTCACAATGTTCATCATCATCATCATCATTTGCTCTACAAAAGTGTATGCTCGTTCAATTGTCTTGTTGTTTTTGTTAATAAACACGTTAATTATTGATTTGCTTGCTATTTTATACGCTTTTTACTATTCACTATATATGCATGATATATATATATATATAAGACAATCACAGTGTGTGCTCTGCTTGATACAATACTTTGTCATTATCGACTAACAAATCTATTTTTTCTGCTAAAAATACTCACACTTCTATATTATTTAAAAGATATTCCGTAAATACATGCAATACACTATCATCATACTGACTCAAAAGGTACATTTTATATTTTATTATCTTTTAATAGTTCAACATAAAACTCTATAGAAAAAATGGTAGACAGACGTAGAAGTCATAACTGTTATCCTATCGGAGAATGAAATCGTACAATATTTTTTTAATTTTTAGACCGACTTTACATATCTACATAAACTTCCACGAAAAAATGCAAAAAAAAACATCTTTTCAAATTTTAAAACATACGAATTACGGAAATAGAGAGGACGGATTAAATTTGTTTTTTATTTCTGGCCAAAAGTACAGGTAGAAGTTGTACTAGGAATGTTACAAGTCCATTTTTCGTCTTTGTCGTGAATCTCTAAGGTTTGTTCAGAACAATTATTTCTCGAGCTGCTAGAAATATAGAGCACACGTTTCTGCAATACTATGTATAGTTTTTTCTTGTCATTGTTTATATTTAGTAACGAACTCATACACACGTCTAATCGAGATCGAATTTGAGCATCTCTTTTTCGAATTGTCCGCTTTATCGTACACTGTAAAAAATAATGCGTCCTTTGACGACACATTTTTTTATACATGAAATGGACACAGTTTGTTCTATGTTGGAATGCGTCCATGCCTCGCTATTTGCGACACAAAATGTATCCTTAGTAATGATGTGCAAAATGTGTCGGTATTTAGGATACATTTTGTGTCGCAAATAGCGACGTATGGATACATTACCTATAGAACAAAATGTGTCTATTCCATGTACTTTTTGAGGGCACATTTTTAGGACACATTATTTTTTACATATATATATATGTCGAAAAAACCCGCGCTTAGATCTAAAACATACACTTGATACTCACTTTTATTTCTCTTAGCCTGATGATAGATTTGAATGGAATCTAATCTTATTGATAGATCAGAATTTTAACTTCTAAAGTTTAGATAAAAGCAGAAATTTCTCAATCACACAACTGAAAGTGTATCGTTATGAACGAATTTTTCAGATGAAAAAAACTGATATTTTCTATGACATTACCCACTAAACGTTTTATAGACTATCTAAATGAAATTTAATAATTACGGATATAGTTACGAAAAAGGGCACAATCCGAAAA